AGATTTGTTATCAAAATTTTAAATGTTACAAAAATAGAGCGGGATTTAAAACTTATTAGTATGCGAATAAGAGCGGTCCAACTTCTTTAATGCGCTTTTATTTTTTCTTTGTTGGGTCGAACAAAAAGGCAATTTTCAGACAATTTTAAATATAACACTTTTTTTAAAACGTAAGAATGGATGTAGGAAGAAGATAAATTTTGGTAGACAAGAGTTTTAAAAATAAATAAAAGCAAAAATGTTTTATTATTATTTTAAATTTACCTATATTTTAATTTAGATGCACTTCATTAACTAGTTAGGTACCTAACAAAAATGTTTCAACATTCCCTACTTTTAAAGATTTTATAAAGAAAAAACTAAAATGTTGGCTTTATAATCCCCAATCTATTCAATTCCTGAAAATTGAGACGTATTGAAAAACTAGCATCTGCCGCATCGTGTTACGTATTGTAAAGGACAGTATCAAACTAATAAAAACAGATTTGTAACAAATTAGTTCACCTGAGGTTACGATGATTAAAATCGAGGGTCACCTTTTGCCTTTTTTTCTTTTTTCGTACAAATGACTCATATGACATGCCCCCTTACTGAAAAGAAAATCGTGCTATTGAATAAAGACTTTTATCCCCCCATATACCTAGTGTAATACGATATTTGTGGTTTTTGTGGGTTAGTAAAGTAATTCTAACTATATTAGGTTTGATTATTGCAAACATTATACCTACTTATAACTGAAATATGTATATTTCAAAATAACGGTAGGTTCTTACAATGATTTATTTTATTTATTACAGCTATGCTGTTTTTATGTTTACACTATTGTTTGTTGAAATGTTGAAAAAACTGTTCCATTTGAAAAAAGTTATTGTTAAAATCTTCAACAAAACCTTTTTTATTTTTCAAGCAATTAATCGGTTTTAATGAAATTTTAGCATATCAAAGGTAATTAATGTGACTTTGGAAAGTTGTTTCGAAATTTACAAAAATTTATTACAATTACTTTTTGTTTGTGTTCTGGATCTTAAATTTTTTAAAAATGTCACTTCAAAACAAAACTCCAAGGAAAATTTCAAGCGGGAAAAAAATATCTTTTACCATAAAATGATAATGTTGATGGATATTTTACTTAAAAAAACATTTATTCACCAAAAATGCTACGTGATGAGGTGGGTTGGTCTGGGATTCAGGTGTTCACTGGGGATATAAATATTGATCTGCTTTCTGATTCAGCTGATTCACTGGATTACTTAAATACAATGGCGAAATTTGGCTTCATAGCTAGAATAAATAAATATACAAGAACAGATGGTCAATCTCGCACGTGCATTGATCACATCTTTAGCAGAACCAGAAATCTACCAAACTCAAAAGAAATAGGGGTGAACTCCGCGGTGATCACCTCGGGTCTAACGGATCACTTTCCCATACTGGCTAGCTTCTCTCTGGGTGTAAGTTCTGCCTGTACTAAAGAAAATAAACCATATAACAAACTTTGTTTACATAAACTATCTTACAATCTTAAAAACACTAATTGGAATGATCTTTACTCAGAGAGGGATGTTGACAGTGTGGCAGAAATGTTAGTTAGTAAGATTAAAATTTGTATAAAAGAATCTACAGAGATACTTCATCATAAAAACAATAAATATATAAAAAGAAAACCTTGGATCTCCCAAGGAATAATACACTCCATATTAAAAAGGGATCAACTAAAAAAAGCGGCTTCTAAGAACCCAAATGACATTCTCGCTAATCTTAACTTTAAAAATTATCGTAATAAACTGACTAACATAATAAACAAAGCTAAAAATGACTTCTACAGAGTTAAGCTCACACAATGTGGCAACAATATAAAAAAATCTTGGGAGCTAATCAAAGAAGTAACTAACGAAAAACGAAATAAATTTGACAAAATTGACAAACTGGTTGAGGGAGGCGTTGAAGTCTTAGATAGTGGCAATATTGCTAACCTTTTTGTTGACTACTATACTGAGGTAGGAAAAAATCTTGCAAACAATATAAAGAAAAACAATTACAGATTTAAAAGTAAATCCAACAACCTTAACTCTATGTATCTTAGAAATATAACAGAGAATGAACTTATTATACAAATAAACAGTCTTAAACTGAATAGCGCCTGCGGGGAAGATGGAATATCTACAAATCTAATCAAACAACACTATAAAACTCTACTTAGTCCCCTCAAATATTTAATAAATCTCATATTCTCAACTGGCGCATATCCAGAAATATTTAAGGCAGCCGTAGTAATTCCTGTTTTTAAGGCCGGAGATAAATCTAACAAAGAAAACTACAGACCCATCGCACTTACCAGTACCATAAGCAAAATTGTAGAAAAGTGTATTAATATAAGATTGATGGACTTTATCAATAAAGGCGGGCTGTTGTCCGAGCGACAGTATGGGTTTAGGGAAGGTAAGGGAACGGATGACTCTATTTGCAAGGTGCTTAAATTTGTAAATGATTCTTTGAATGGTGGACGTAAGGTGGTTGCTGCTTTTCTTGATCTGGCCAAGGCCTTCGACACTGTGTCACACCGAATTCTCCTTACTAAACTTGATAATATGGGTATAAGAGGTACACCTCTAAACTTATTGAAATCCTATCTTACTAATAGAACACATATGGTAAAAATAAACGGGTTATACAGCCATAGGAGAGTGATAGAGTTCGGTGTGCCACAGGGGACGGTCCTTGGCCCGATATTATTCTTAATATACTTTAATGACTTTATGACAGCCCTTGAGGATGATATAGCGGTTATCTGCTACGCTGATGACTCTGTGGTATTGATCAATGGGACAAAATGGGAAGAGGTGCTAAAAAGGTTGGAGTTAGCCCTTAGTAAACTTAGGCTCTGGCTTGACAGCAACCTGCTCACGTTGAACTACTCAAAGACCCATTACCTAGCCTTCACGAAATGCTCCGTAAACCCGGCACCAAAAACCACCTTAAAAATCCATAGCCTATGCTGTCTTAAAAGTCAATTAACAAACTGTCAGTGCGAACGCGTTATCTCTCAAAAAAATGTTACGAAATATCTGGGCCTCTGTATGGACAACATGCTAAGGTGGGATGAGCACATTAAGAGCAGCATATGTAAAATTCAAAGAACGATATATAAATTTTACGCATTAAGAAATATTTTGAAAACAAAAATGTTAATAATGATATATAACGCAATTGTACAGTCAATCCTAAATTATGGTATTATAGCCTGGGGATCTGCATGTAAAACTCTGCTTGAACCCCTCAATATTACTCAAAAATATGTTATTAAAGTACTACTTGGTAAACCTAGAATGACTCCAACTGTTGAAATATTTCAAGAAAGCAAAATTTTAAGAATTAAGGAGTTATATATAATCTCAACATTAAAGTATATGCATAAGTCCCCTAAGTGTAAAGTCAACATCTGCCATAACACTAGATCAGTGGGTGTAAATATTGAGATACCCAGATTTCACTTTACTTCAACACAGAGACATTTCTGTTATCTAGGCCCAAAACTATTTAATCTACTGCCTTTTGAACTAAAACACTGCAATTACTTAAGATTTTCTAAAAACATTAAACAATGGACACAGACAAATTTTGCCAATATCTGCTCGAGGATTGCATTGCTAGAATTGTAATTGTACTGACACTGTACCTGACCTTGTTTTGCCTTCTATCTTATTTTACTCTGTACCTGGCTCTGCTTTATTTTATTATTTTATTTTATAATTTTATTTTATGTTTTATGTGGTTTCTGGTACCCCATTGTTGTATACAATATAATGTATTATATTATAATGTGACCACTAAAGGTAATCATTGTTAATTTTATATCACTAAGGTAAATTAATGTTAAAGAAATTGTGAGATTACAAATTATAATTAGTGAAAAGTAGCATTATATGTAAATGAAATATAAATATAAATGTAAATTTTGAAAATAGTCCACACAAGCTCATAGAGCTTAGGGACTGTTCTGTGATGACGATTTTATTTTTAAATAAACTTATTCTTATTCTTATTCTTATTCTTAAAAAACAAAAATCAAATGGTTAAAAAATAAATGTTTTTTTCGGTAATTTCTGAAGAAAAAATAATCATATACATTCACGATTTATTTGCCCAACATAATGAATAATTTTTTAAAGCAAAATATTGTTTATAAAAATTTAATAAATTAATAAGCAAAAGAATTTTTTGTAAATTTTGGGAAAATTTTCCATGGTCAATTTGATATGCCGAAATTTCATCAAAATCTATTTATCGGTTCAAGAATAACTAAATTTTGTTTGAAAAGTTACCAAAAACTTTGCTAAAAAATAAAATTAAAAAAAATGTTTGGTTGATTAATTTGTATGGTCAAATACAGCAGTTTTTAACATTTTGACCAAAAAAATTATTTTTATCGTCTTGATTCCACAAATTCTGACCCAAAGTTCGTAAAAATTTTAAAATGGCGCTTAAATAATACAGAAATTATTAAAATTATCAAAATTAAGATTAAAATTTTAATGGGATTTTCCTAGATTAGCTAATCTTTAAGTTTTTGTAAAACATTTAATTATAGGAGATTAATTAATATTTAGGCAAAAATAAGTAAAAATCCCCTTAACAGAAACAAAAAATAATGGTTAATGCAAAGACAATTGTCTCACATTAATGTGCTGGTATACATATGGTAAATTTAAAATTTATAAATATTATTGGTGCCAATGTCAGAGTATAGGCAACTAACATTACTATTTAACTATTTATTAAGGATATGTTTAAGGATATGGATAAAAAGGATAGTAATTTAATAGTCTTAGAAAATAATTGACAAAAAGTAAAAAAACAATATTTTTATTGTAAATTAATAATTTAAAATTATAAAAAATCAATTGTATAAAATAATTAAAATTTTAAATCTTAAATAAATATTTAAATAAAACTTAAAATTTAAGATTTATAAAAAATAATGAAATTCTTTAAAAACAATTGCATCCTTTAACATATCACAGTGGTCACAAATTTTTAATTACCTGTAGATTTTCTTATTTTTTTCAATTATTTCTTATGTCATCAAGATTAACAATTCCAATACTTTTATCACCATCATTATTTAATGTTAAACCCACTTTATTTAATGTATTACCATCAACAGTCCCCTGTTTTTTCATAGCTGCAATGAATTTTTGATTTTCCAAGTTATTCTTACAAATATTTCTGATTGCAAATATTGCCCATTGCATAATAACTAAAAATATACAATTAAGTAATATTTATATAGTGCCTAAAGATTTAAACTTACATGGGTTTTTTTCATCAATATTGCAGCATTCTAAAATAACAGGAATAAGTTCAGCTTCCCTGGTCTAAAATGGTAAAATTATTAAAAGAATAGAAAATATAAACCAAAATTTACCAAGTCTTGCATTTTCTTACATGTCCAATTTAAATTACCAATAAACCTAACAAGATCGCCTTTAAAACCATATGCAGGGTTTTCTTTAAAATCTTCAGATACTTCAGAATGTTTTGGAACTTGTGTAAAGCAATTATCAGATGATTTTCCCAGTCTGTGAATATTAATAAGCAAAATAGCAGCTTGTATTAATAAATCTGAATTACTTTGCAGTATTTCCAAGAAATTTTGAGAATTACCAGTAACTTGTGATAATATTTGAAGCACCAAAGAAATTTCTAAAGCTTTTTTATTATCACCAGAAGTAAAAACTGTTTGTGATGAATCAATAAAAATTTTCATCATTACATCAAGTCCTTCTTTCACAAAAAATATTTTGTTTTCTTTCGTTTGTTTTTCTTTTATAATTCCTAATATTGTTAATTTACAATCATATTCCAATGCATTATAAAAGCTCCAGAAATAGCCATACTGACAAATGGTCTCCAACAAAAAATGAAGAAATTCACATTTTTCAACTTTGTGATATAAATCCACAATTTTATTCACTAAATTTGCATCCAAATTCTTTAATGGTACATGCAAAGACATATAATGCAATAAGGCTGATACTTCATATACGTTACACTCTTTTTCAAGGCATTCTGATATATCGCTAAATTCATTATAAATTAGTTTAGCACCATTAGGGTTTTTAACAGAAAGATTAATTAAAAGCTGCATCATTATCTTGGTACATAATTTATAATTTTGATCATCCTTAACTTCTAAATACACTCTTCTTAATTTAATTATAAAATCCTCAGTTAATAGAGATTCTTGTATGTTTGAATCAGTAACACAGTTGCGTAAACCTCTCAAAACTTCCACTAAAACATTTTCTATCATATTTTTATCTTCCAAACACATGTTGAGTAGTATTTGTAAAAAATCAACCACTTGTAGATGAAATCTGAAAATAAATTTGAAATATTTTGAAATTGGATTGTATTTAATTACTTTTTAGGTTCTCCTGTACTGCTTAGTTCTAAAGCAAGACCATTTTTTAAATTTTCTGCGAGATTTTTCCATTCTTGTTGTTTAATGTAGCGGTTTAAAGTATCATAATCCAAATTTTTACACATTTTTCAAATTATTTATTTTAGGTTATTCTTCTTCTTCGCATATGTATCGTAACCATAATTTAAAAATTTTGTATTACCTACAGTTTATTTTAATGAATTAATATTTGATAAATAAACTTAAAATTTGAAGGTAACATTTATTAATTAAAATTTAATTTTAATTTTTAAAATGGAAATGCTATTTTTGACAGTTGACATTTGTAAATTGCTGACTTCATTTCAATAGTGACTTCGGCGTTTTGAAGTTTTAAACGAATTTGTTAAAAAGTATTCTATAAAAGGTTGGTTTATTTCTGTTTTACTTAATTTTATGTTGAGATGTAACTTTCGTATAATTATTTAATACTATATCGATTTTATTTTCAATTATTTTTGTTTTTGCATATTGCATTGTCATCTAACCTATAAGGTTTTGTTTTATATATATTTTAGATGTTCCTGACTAGAAGTGAATATGATAGAGGTGTTAACACCTTTTCACCTGAAGGAAGATTATTCCAAGTTGAATATGCCATAGAAGCTATAAAATTGGGTTCTACAGCCATTGGTATATCCACATCGGAAGGTGTTGTTTTAGCAGTAGAAAAAAGAATAACTTCGCCACTCATGGAACCCACCACTATTGAAAAAATTGTTGAAGTTGATAAACACATTGGATGTGCTGTTTCTGGGCTTATGGCTGATTCTAGAACCATGATTGATAGGTAGGTATCATTTTTTAATTTTTTTAACTATTTTGTCGTTTCATATAAATACTTGAGTTATCCTTGATGAAGCATAATATTTATTATAAAATTTTGACATTTGCATTTATAGAAGGTGAAAAAATTCTAGATTTGCCTTTTCTATATTGTTTTATCTATTATTAATAATAAATAATAAAATAATAATAATAAATAAATAATTCTTTATTCGTCCCAAAAAAACATATAAAGGATATTTTATAGAGGGACACCTCTGTATACACATTATAATTCAGTACATATTTACATTAACAATCGTCATACACAATTCTTATAGTTACTTAAATACACTATACACATTTATACATATATATTTACATATACATTTATCACTAATACAGTCATTATTAAATATCACAGATATACTTAAAATAAATAAAGCAAGCTTTAACCTCAACTTAAGTTTTTTTTTTTTTTTTCTTCAGTCTTTTTTAGTCCTCCCTGTAATATTGAATATAATCATTTATGTTTTTTTTAAATTTGTGACCTTTAAAATTTTTAATGCTGTTAGGCAGCCTATTATATAAATGGACTCCCCTGTAGGAAATCGAGTTCATTCCCATTTGGGAATTTACTTGAGGTAGATTCACCTCTGCATTGGCTCTTGTCGAGTGATCGTGAACATTATTTCTATAAGTGAACTTAAGACATGAGTGTCTTTTAGAATTAAGGACTTGATTTATAAACATACTTGTTTGATATTCATTAATACTTTTTATAGATCTAATTCTAAACAAGTTATAGAGGTCAGCTGTTGGATATCTTTTATCTAAAGAATATAAATTTTTTATGGCTTTATTTTGGAGTAATTTAAGTGGCTTAAGAGTACAGTTAGATGCATTTGACCAAATAAGATTCAAGTATTGTAGGTGTGAGTGTATCAAGGAGAAGTAAATCGACCTCAAGTATTTGCGGGGGACAGTATACATTCTCCTAAGCACACCAATCGGACCGGCCACCTTTCCACACACATGACTGACATGATCTTTCCAGGAAAGCCTGTCATCGATTTTTAGGCCCAGGAACTTTGTATCCGTAACCCGCTTCAGCTCGAAAGCATCATTAACACATCGTTCTCTCTGGTTTTTATGAATATACATATAAGATGACTTCTCCATGTTCAGGGACAATTTATGGGAATTAACCCATTTTTTTAAAATTATCAAATCAGAAGCCATGGACTCGTTCACTTGCTCGATGGTGCGGCCATAGTATACTATGGTCGCATCATCAGCATACAACCTTAAATTTCCATTAAGTTTTAAGTTTGACATGGAATTTACGTAAACCAAAAAAAGTGTCGGCCCCAAAATTGAACCCTGGGGCACACCACATTTAATAGATTGTCTAGAGCTTTCTACTGAGTCCACAACAACATACTGCATTCTATCCGAAAGATAGTTTTCAAACCACCGCAAGCAAGAGTCCGTTACACCAATTAGCTCCAACTTCCGAAGCAAAATACCAAAATTTACAGTGTCAAATGCCTTTCGCTGGTCAAGCGACACGAGCGCGCATTTTAGGCCTTTATCCAGATTTAATTGTATTTCATTGATCATGTCAACTGCGGCCGAGCTCGTGTCACTTGACCCGCGAAAGCCATATTGACACGGAGACAAAAAGTTCAACGCTTCCAAGTGACCCGCAAGCCTACCATTAACCACTCGTTCCAGAATCTTAGCAAAGACTGATATTACACTTATTGGTCTATAGTTGTTTGCCTGATCCTTATCGCCTGACTTAAAAAGTGGAGTTACTCGTGAGATTTTCATTCCTTTTGGAACTGCGCCGGTCTTGAGTGATTTATTAATTATTTTACAAAGAATATGCTTTATTGCTTCACCACACTCTTTGACAGTTTTTATATCAATTTTATCATGACCTGCAGCTTTTGATGAGTCCAGTTTCACAATGATTTTTCCAATTTCTTCAGGGGTAACCTCATTAAATACCATTTTTATTGTGCTCTTGCTTTCTTGGTTTATAAGTAGAGGTTCGTCCGGTATAGAACATGCCAGCTCTTCACTAATTTTTATAAAAAAGTTATTTATGTGATCTCCAATTTTCTTTTTGTCAGTTATAACTTTGTTACCATTTTTTACCCTTGAAATTGCTTCTTTACTTTTCTTGCAATTCCGGACAATTGAACTGATTAATTTCCATGTGTTTCTAACATTATTTTGGCTTTTTGTGAATTTTTCTTCATAAAATGCACGCTTTGCTTTTTGAACTTTGTCTCTTACTTTTTTTTTAGCATCTGTATGCATTTTTTTTAGGAAATTGTTATTGGGAAATTTTTTTTGCCTTTCAAAAAAATAGTCTCTTAGTTTGATTGCATTTAGAACTTCCATGTTAAACCATACTTTAGATTTTGGTCCAAACCTATTCTTTAACTTTTTATAGGTTGTATTTTTGTCAAAACAAGAGATTAATCTGCCGTAACTTTCGTCAATATTCTCTGTGTGATTGTAATTGGCATTTAATTCCAGCAATTCCTTTTTTACACATCACTATTACACAACACTATTGATTCTGCAATAGGCTATTGACCTAGGTCTTTCTGTTTTTTACAATACTGTATGTCCACCTATGGGGTTAAAAAGGAAAAACAAAAACTTATTTTACATTTCTAAGAAAATTTTATTCTTGATAAAAAAAATCTGCTTGATTTCAATCCACCAGAATATGCAACACATTATTCTGAAAATTTTGACCTGAATTTTTTTGATATTTTATCAAGAATAAACTTTTTTGAGAAATTTAAAATATTTTGCTTTCCTCTTTGAATGATGAATAATTTATTGACATAGTTATGGGCAATTCCATGCGTAATAGCGTAATTTTCTTCAAATTTATATCAATCGAAATGTTCCAAATGTTATTAAACTAGGAGCATACATGTCTACTTGTGCCTAGAAAATTATTACTTTATTTCTTTAACCCAATATTCCATAAAATTTTAAATAGTTAAAAAGTCTTAACTGCTTTTGAATTCTGCACTAAAAATATGTTATGTCCCATGAGTTATCATATAAACCAATTTTTTTAAAACCTCACACAATCAAAGCAGTTAAGTTGAATGTTTTTTTAATACACTATAGGCAAAGTATATTTTTAAAATAAGATTATGTTTCAAACAGTTTAGGATTCAGAGAAAAAGGTTGCTTCATTTAACCAATTTTTTAAAGAAAGTTTTTCGTGTCCCATGAGTTATCACACGTTTTGTCTGCATTTTGTCTAGAGATCAATTGGTGAACTTATTCAAAAATGTTAAAAATATACATTGGCCTATCCTTTAAAGTTTAAACATTTTATACATTCCTAATAAATATAGGTATTCTGGTATACCAAGTTAAATTTTATTTCTGTCATCTGAATGTCCCGTGAGTTATCATGGAATTGCCCTTATACAAAACTAAAGAAGATAATAAATAAATAAAGAAGATATAGGTATTACCTATATTATGTAAGTTCTACTTTATATTGAGGGCCTTAAAAAAATTTGGTATAAGTACAGCTGCTGTATAAGGACAAAATATAATTTGTATTTTCAGAAAAAATATTGTAAAAAACAGTAAAAAATTATGTTTTGGTCCTTTATTACTTAATAATATTAAGTTAATATAGTAGATATGGCATTTTTGCTCAACAGGGCAGCCACACTTATACCCCTTTTATTCTAATTCCATCAATTTATATAAAAAAATAAAGAACAAATTATAATAATTTAACATTAATCTTTGAATTCCTATACCTTTTATATTATGAAAAACAATTTATACTTTGGGAAAAGTGTAAAATCAAATGAAATTCTACTGATGAAAAATAATATTTTTCCATTTCAAAAGTAAGGAATTAAAAAAAAGTTGTTGAAGTCTACCTACCTAAATCAAATTTTAATGACATAAGAAAGTATTAATAACTTGCCAATTAATAGACATGCAACAATAAATGTAAGAAATTGTACGCCCTACAAAAAAGGTCTTAGGTTTTTTTCATAATACTATCCATTTAAATGATATTGGAGGACAAAGTTTAAAATATATTTATATTTATATATGTACATATATAAAATATTTAAAAATTAAACGGTATCAAAAAAATATTTTTTTTCTCTTAAAATTGTTAAACTGTAATCAAATAATTAAGATGATACCCAAATAAAAAACAACTTGGTAAATAACGGACATTTTCATTTGTTTTTAATTTTGGGCAAAATTTCTTTTGTTGTCTCAGTGGCTGGAAAACTATAAACTAAAATTTATTTGTCACATTTTTTATATTGGAAAAACAAAACAAAAAGTGGCAAAATAATTAATTTGTCTGTTCTTACTTTTGTCAAAAAAAATTATGAACTAATAAATGTGTAGTACCAATTTTTTTTTTTTGAGTAAAATAGTATTAAAAACATTTTTTAGATTATAAATGTAGTAAAAATAAAACGTTGTATTTTGATAAACAAATTAATACCTTATTACAAATTAAAGTATCATTAAAAACAACAAAAGTAACAATATAATATATAATAATTTGTTGTTATAATGGCAAAATTAAGGTAAAAAACTGTCATATCTGTATTTTTCATGTTGGCAGCATACAATTTGAAATAAAAATTTGAAAAATCAAAAAATATTTTTTTTTTAGATTTTCTTAATTAATATACTTTTAACATGATCCCCCGTTAAAAATCGAATTTTTGAAAGAATCTATGGAAAATAACACATGTTTAGAAATGTTATTATCCACACATACATTACTTTCCATACATTACTTTAAAAAATCGTTTTTAAACTAGTGAAACAAATTATGATCGTGTTAAATTCCTAAAAATTGATTTAGTTTATTTCATGTCAGGGTTCGCCTGATTTAATTTAGTCAATGAAAAAAATCTAAAAAAACACTGAAAAGATCTAAAACTAAAGCACAATAATATCTTAACATTATTTAAATAAATTCATATGCTTATAACTGCTTATTTTGTTAAATAATAGTATATTATGTATCAAGTTTTATTAACGCCATTTTAGTTACGAGTTTTATTAGGCACGAGCGAAGCTTGCGAGCGAGTGTTTAATAAAAACGAGTGTCTGGAGAAGTTTATAAAACGAGTTGCATACTATACTTTATCTACGACGAACACAAAGAAGAATTTAAAGCACATTTTTATTCTTAAAAATTTGACATCCGTCAACAGTTGAATCAACAGTTCTAATCCGTTGACAGTTACTGTCAACGGATTGAACCTCGCTTTTTCCCAATTTATAATAAAGCTAACTTCAGCCCGTGACTAAAATGCCCAAAAGCCATTGTTGCTAACTTCAGCCCGTGACTAAAACGCCATAAAGTCACAGCTTATTAATGGGGGAGTAGATAAAATAATAAAGGAATATACAAAAAAATATATGACAGTTGTGGTTTATTTATTTATAAAGTAGTGTCAATATCACAACCAATATAATATTATTATATTATTATATTCGATATTTTTATTACTACAATTTATTAAAAAAAGCTTATAATTTAAAAAAAAATGAAAAAAATCACTTTTTGTTCATTTTTTAATAAAAATCATCGATTTTTGATTTTTTTAAATCAAGATTTTTTCGAACCCTGTTTTATAGAAATCTCATGAGCGAGCTCGTGAGATACAAAATAAAAAAAAATGGCGTATAAAAACAAATGTAACTTAAAAAATTATTTTCTTGGAATCCTGGCTTTAAAAAAATATAATATTATTTGTGAATGTGCCTGATGCCTCACAAAATCATTTATTTAATTTTGAAGACATTATATGGAAACTCTTCAAATGCAGATACTGCATTAATCATTTTCAATAGGTAGTTTAGAAGATTACAATCTAACTTAAGTGGCACCAAATAGATTGTTTACTTCTTTACCCCAAAAATAACTATATTAACGTTTTAAAATAAAATGCATTGGGTTTTAAAATTAAAAAAAATGCCTAAAAATATTTATTTATTTCATATTATTTGTAGGGCAAGAATAGAATGCCAAAACCATTGGTTTGTTTACAACGAAAACATGAGCGTTGAATCTTGTGCCCAAGCGGTTTCGAATTTGGCCATTCAGTTCGGCGATTCCGACGACGACGGGGCGGCCATGTCCAGACCCTTTGGAGTTGCCATTTTGTTCGCCGGAATTGACGAAAAGGGTCCCCAGCTATACCACATGGACCCTTCGGGCACTTTCGTTCAATTCGACGCGAAAGCGATTGGTTCCGGTTCGGAGGGAGCGCAGCAGAGCCTTCAGGAGGTTTACCATCGCAGCATGACCTTGGCGGAGGCTACCACGTCCGCTTTGACCATCCTCAAGCAGGTCATGGAGGAGAAATTGAACTCTTCCAACGTGGAAGTCATGACAATGACCCCGGATAACTTTTTCCACATGTTTGCCAAGGAACAGGTCGAGGAGGTAATTTCAAAGATATCCTAAATTTTCGCGCAAAATTATTACTATTTAATAAGCATAAAAAAATAATAATTGTGTTAACACGTTTTTATATACAAATAATAAACATTTGAAATGTGGGGTATAATATTTTTACCCAGATACTCTTCCATTTCCAATTTTCCTTCTTTACTATATTTTATGGAAATTTTATCCAGCTGTAAAATTTACATTCTTATCTTAAACATTAAATAATATTAATAATTTAATATATTAAATTAACATTATTAATAGGGATAATGTTATATTTACATAAATTTTAAGTTAATATAAAATTAATGCATTTTAAATTTTAAATAATATTTATGGAATGAATAAATTCCTAATATTTTAATATACAAGGTATACATCCTTCGACTAAAATAATGCGATATAACTAAATTTCTATATAAAAGTTGATAATAACCACAGGGTGTCAAAGCAGGGCCGGGTTAAGGCTAAACAATGTGGGCCCTCAAAGAAGCTCTATTAAAAAAATGTCATGTTTAAAACTAATTTAACTTATTTAAAATGTAGTAAATATTTGGAAAAGAAAAATGCACACGGTCATGTTTATAAAAATCGAATACAGAACGCTCAAAAACTAACAAAACAAGAAAATTGCTAAAATTAATTTACACTGAAAACAATTGTTTTAAATTTTGAAAACTTTATAAATAAAAAATGTTGGTTATACCTAGGGTATTCAAATTCCCTGAAAAATTGTGCCAACCGAAAAAAAACTGTTTTGACTTGCATTTTTTTCATTTTATTCAAAAAATGCAAAAGTCAATTTTTCTGTAAATTTACAAATTTTTACTGATACTATCCGTACACCGATATCGAGAAAAAAGTGAATGCTGGATATAGTCATAATATTATGATTATAATAATTACCTATTCCTTTTATTTTAATTCAGTAAGAAAATTCTACCGGGCCGCTTAAAAAAACATATTTGTTCCTGTTAATACATAACTTTAGTTTTTTTTGACACTTCGATTTATAAAATTATAATTTTGTAATTTAACTTTATTAATCATTCAGTATTTGTTTATTTTTTTTAAATTAAAATGTTAAATTGTTGATTGCTACTTTTTTCCAATGTATTAAAAAAAAATTTTTTTCCAAAAAATTTAATTTTTCCAAGGCAAAGGAAAAAACGGATTTTTTTTCTACACTTTAAAACCCCAGTTGTACCTAACAAGTTATCAGAAACTAAAGTGAGTTAAATGATATTAAATTGTAATTTTATTTTTAATTATTTTTGTTTTTCAAAAATTGGTACCTACATAAATAAGTATTTTTCATTAAGTAAAAATAAATACTAACATTGTTTTTAATAAAAAATCTTTTTATAAACTAATGATATTATTTTTTATTTTCATATGTTAACTTATTCAAATCAACATTTATATTAATATTCTTTTTAAAATTTAAAAATAAGTGTTCTTGTTAGTTCTTGACCTATACACTCAAAAGCTAAGAAAACTTGAAAAAAATCAACAAAATTTGCAATACCTATTATAGTAGTTTTAAAACTTTTATTTTTGGTTAGAACTGATTTTTTGGTGCCCCCTTTTTTTATTGAAAAAAAATGAATCCTAATTATCCTAATATTTAATTCAATGTTTAGTTTTATTTACTTTTTTCTGTAAGGATATTTTTTTTTAAATTAAAATACCTAATGTATAATTGTTGATTTCTACTTTTTTCCAATGTGTATATATCCAAAAAAATCAATTTTTTCCAAAAAATACAATTTTTCCAAGGCTAGGGAAAAACAATTTTTCCGGATTTTTTTTTCTACACTTTAAAACCCCAGTTGTACCTAACAAGTTATCAGAAACTAAAGTTAGTTAAGTGATATTAAATTGTAATTATTTTTCGTTTTTCAAAAATTGGTACCTACATAAATAAATATTTTTCAGTACCTAAGTAAAAATACATACCAACATTGTTTTTAATAAAAAATCTTTTCATAAAATATTGATATTATTGCTTTGCTTATTTTTGATGACATGGGGGGTGGGGGGTCTAGATGGTGATTACGTCAGCAGTAGTTATTTACTTTTTTACACATATGGCAACCCACACATTGTCTATGCTTGAAAACAAAAAGACCAATGTTTACGTAAGCATTGGAGGGGGGTAAGAGCTTTGATTACTTTTGCTGACAAGGGGGAGGGGGGGGTTAACAATTGTAGTAAATCTGCTTACGTAATACTTGAACGGCCCCTAAAATGCAAACAAAATTTGCAATATCTATCTATTATAGTGGTTTTAAAACTATTTTATTTTAAGAAAGTTGTGTACTTTGGTTAGAACTGATTTTTTGGTGCCCCTTTTTTTATTGAAAAAAATAGATCCTAAATATCAGTTATGATAATAAGTTATTATTATTATTAATAACAGATAACATAACATTATATTATGTTAAAATTAAATACAATATTATATATAAATAAAATGAATATAAATGCTAGTTATAACGTTATAACTTTAAATATAATTAACTTGATAATTAAATTTTTAGATAAAGTTCTTAAGAAAAATTAAATAGTGTCTCTTTGTCTTGTAGTTAATAAAGCTTTTAAACTAGTTTTAAACAAAGTCTGGGATAGGTTTTCACTGGAAGTTTATTGTAATTTTATTTTGTGCAAAACGTTTGTTATTTCATAGTTATTTTATCAAATCGAAAAAGAACTTAAGAAAAAACTTATAAATTATAAAAAACTGAACCGTTTGTAAGATATGTGCGTTTAAAAATTAAAAAAAAAATTGTTCGACAGTAACTACCTACCTACTTTTAAAAAAATGTTACATTTTCAAATCACTGAACAATTTAAATTCAATTATTTTGAAAACTGTTACCCTTACCGACATTTAAAAAGCCTACTTTTTTTACGTTAGAAACAAAAAAAGTAATATTTTTATCAAAAACTTAAATACACCAAGGCGCAAAAAAGATGTGACCATTTAAACGTATGAAAGTGTCGCAGAAAGCGCCCTCTACATCCTACATTATTTTTTTTAAGGAATTTATTTTTAACGACCTGAAAAACCACCAAAAATCATTTTTTGTGCAAAAACATTTAATTTTTCGAAAGTTATTTAACAAAATCCAAAACGAACTTTTAACTTAGACACCCTGTATCTTGGTTATTATCAACTTTTGTATAGAAGTAAATTTAGTAATAATATTAACATATATGTAGTATTAAAAAGTATTCTTCATGAAGTCCTGCTATTAAAACTTGGGGCACCCTGTATAAACCCCAAAAGAAGAAGAAGAAGAGGAAAATAAAAAATATAACCTCAAAAATTGAACTATGCATTGTTAGCATTAAATTTTATAAACAACAAAATGACGAATAGAAAGCGAAAACTAAATAACAAACGTAATTTGACTTGTAAAAGGTTATTTAATCTTAATCCATCTAATAATACGGCAAATAATGACATTCCAAGTCTGGCTGAAGATATTGAGGATACTGAAACCCTGGACTACGAATACGGTCTTCAGGATGAAGAACACGACAAAAGCAGTGAAAGTGAAGTGGAAAATGAAAGCGTAGTTGAACACGTAAATGTGTCTAAAAGTCCTAGAATAAATAACTCCTTGGAACCCTCATTTCCAATGTATACGGTTAGTAAATCAAACACGAACAATTTTATCAGTAATATAAACGGTAACGATGACCAATACATCCCCGAGGACGACTTTATCTTGAACGGTACAAACTCTAATGGCAATGAAAACTATACTCCATGCTCATCGTTGATAGATAGTGAAAGTGACGATTGTGAATCTCTGGTGGTGTCTGAAGCTTCAACATCATCAAACTATGTGGCTAAAAATCCGGTCCCGCTAAATGGCCTCAATAAACCCGAATCCACACAAATAAACAATAATATTGTGAATTTTAAGTTTAATGTTAGCAGTTTAATGGCACTTCGAAAAAATACACCACAAAATGAAGAAGAAGAAGAAGAAAATGACACTGTATGTGAAAGTACCATTAACAGCCCTGTGTCTGATAGTGTATACGATAAGAAAAAGTGGACACAATTTTTTGACCTCTCCTCAGTTATGCCAAGAATCACATCTGATGATTTCATTTTCAATGCAGTTAAACCGTTTCACGAATTCCAAATAAATGATGAATTAAATGATTCACCTGTGGATTCACCGAATGAGTCTATCTTTAAAATACCTCTAAAACGGCCCCCCACTAGGCCAGTTAAAACGGCAAGCATACAACCTCAACTTGTGTCTCCCCCCGTGTTGCAAAGTGATGAAGTAATAGAAATCGATGACACAATTTCACTGGCCTGTTCTTCCCTTGTTGATGACGAAGATTTTGAGGTTAAGGAAGAACCTCTCAGTAGATCTGATGAGTCCTCACCCAGTGCATCATCAGTGCCAAATGCTGAACAAACCCTGGAAAAACCCGCAAACAAAAAAATCTCGTTCGGTGAAATTCCTCCGTTGTTCCGAAACATCTGCTATTATTTTTTTCTGTACAGTAACTGCAAAAAGAAATTTTGCGCCTTACCGCACAACATGAACAACGGCAAATTCATTAACAATATCAAGCGGGCTTCCAATGAGGATTTGGTGAAGGCATTCAAGTGGGCGCGGGAGCACCGTTTTTTTTACCAGCACATTTTCAAGATTATGGCGGGTGCGTTTATGTGGAGAAAAATGTACAGTATGGTCGGAGATATGTTGCTGGATGTGCCTGAGTTTGCTAAAACAATCGATAAAGAGACCGCTGTTGATTTTGTTCTTACACAGCTGCAACAATCAAAAAATTTTAAAGAAAACTTGTTTTGCATCATAAACAAGATTAATTTTGCGCATCATGAAGCACTCAGAAACTTGATGATTAACGCTATAAGTAAGCACGATAATTTGGACGAGCTGTGTGATATTTTGCCAAAGCTGATTGCCGGCAAAACCACGGAAATAGAAAATAGAGTGGTTATAAGACTGATGGATAAAAGTTTAAATACTACGCAGGCCAACAACAAGAGACTTTGCAACTTTCTGGGAGACTTGATTCAGAAAAAATGCATTGATTTCGGTAAAATACCGAAAAATTTGTCTCACCCTTTCGGTTTGTACATGCGGTGTTCCACCAATGGGGTGGATATCTTGCCAGGCCACATATTCGAAGATAAGGACAACAACGCCGAGGAAAGCGGCAGTTTGTGCTCGTACAGAACCGAAGACAATTTGTATTATCCGTCCACTACGGATAACACGGAAAACCTGGACCGTCTTAGCGACGTGGACCTGGATAATTTGGAAAGCGTCAGCCAGGTCGGGTACGTGGAACCGTTCCACGTTCCGCAAGAAACGCAGGGCAGCAACGATTTCGAGAGGACGGAAATGTTCGTGGAGGAGTTGAGGAGGAAGCTGATTGGCGAACAACCCCCACCGCAATTGCCGCCTCCGCCACAGCCACCACAAACTCTTTTTTTCCCTTTTTCGTCCGTATCACCAAATGTTCCGCATACACCTTCGCCATTGAATTATCAGCAGCCTTCACCTTTGAATTATCAGCAGCCTTCACCGTCAAATAATCAGCAGCCATCAGCGAATATTGAACCAGCTCCAGTGCCATCCCCCGAGCCCATGCCGATCCCGAAATTCGGTCATCTCGTGCTGGAAGCGAACTTTAAGTTGAACGTGTCGTTGCACAATTCGCTTCCGCTTTCTCCCGCGAAGGGTTGCGTCGATCTGCACGACGCCGACATAATGCAGCTGGACAGATCCATAAAGCACCACGACGGTTTAAATTTCTTGCGGGTTTTCGACGCCTACAAAACCTCCTACACCCAGCAGAATTTCGTCACGCAGACCATCGCAGCCTTGAAATCGTCGGGGGAAAGGTCTTTTCACTATTTCTCCAAACTGTTGGAATCGATACGATCGATAAACCCCTCGTGGATGACGGATAAGTTGCTGAAAGCGATCCTGGAAGTGGTCGCCATGAACATAATAGTCGCTTTGGAGCAAAAGCAATGCTTGAAAGAATGCGTGACGTTACTCCTGCAATTCTACGACTGGGACGCTTTAATTACCTGCAAAATATTCACTCAGCACTTCAATTACACGATTATGGGTCGATACCTGTTCCTAGCCAAGCTGTTCAGTAAAGCAAACCGATTTGACTTTACCTTCGAAATCCTGCAATCGCCCAAATTGAAGATACTCGAATATCAACACGACTGGCCCTTTCAAAACTGCCACCACGATCTGAACACGAAAAATATCTTGCTGAAAGATTTTTTTAAATACGGATACAAATATAACGCGATCTCCACCGTCGAGTTGTACAAGCGTATCTTCCAAGGGGCACCTGTTGAAGATGAAATTTTGAGCAATTTTAATCCCATGATGAAAAATATCCTGGACAACAAAGTTGTGCCCGTCCTCAAGCAAATAATGGAGGACATCAACATTTTTGAACCCCACATGGAGAAGAACATCCTTAAAGCGTTTTTCCTGATTGTCATCGAAAAACGCATTACGAAATCGAAAGAAACGCACAATTTATACCTGAAGTGCGTGAAGAAAGGCATTTATCCCTCTTATTGCGGCCAAGAAGCTGTAGTCATCATAAAAACCAACTACACGGAAGAAGAAATACGGTTAACCTTCGAATATTACTTCAACAAAATCGTTCAGTTTCCAGCAAAAGATGTCGCCGTTCAAATTAGTGTTCCGAACGAGACGAATTACAATGAGATTCCGAACGTTTTAAACGAAAAGTTTCGCAGCTTCAATGAAATTTATTCTAACATACGGGAAATTTTATGTGACGACTACTTCATCAACATACCGTTAATAGCGAATACTCATATTGCTATTAAAAGTTCCACAATATCAACAGTTATTGATGGGTTGGTGCAGTCATATGGGTTAGCCAAATCTTAGAATAAAGGCTGTGAATTTAAAAACATGTTTATTGAACTCGGGCCAAAAGTTAAAAGTTGTACTCTTAATGGTAGTTAAATTAACAGTTTTTTTATAAATTCAGTAAGTTTTACCTAAAAGGTTTATTTTTAGGTATACCTAATTATTGGGTTAAAAAAATGTAAATCTTTTTATTTGATTATTTTGAAGGATTAACAACATATTCTAATAGAATTTTAGTATTTTTAATAAGGCGATATAGATAAACAAATCATATTGTCCAGTCCTTCCACAAAAAAAATATACATGAACTCTATTTACAAAATTTTTAACTGCAGGTCCTTGTAATTAATACCTACTTACTTAAATATATTATGTTCGTTAATTTTGTTTTAAGATGGTTTATAAAGACTTTTAATTAGATTTAAGCCTGCATATTAAATTAGTCTAAAAAATGTAAATAAATTTTATTTTTTTATACTTAACATGTCAGTTTTATATCTGTTTTAGGCTTTAAAAGATATGACTCCTAGTGACCAAGTTCAATCTGAACTCGGAGAACGGAAACCGGTTATAAACAAATAAAAAAGTTTTCTTGAAATTTATAGAATAATACCTTAATTTCTTTACCAAATAAATGTTTTAAATTTACTTTTTGTTTTATTTTTTCAACCATAAATTTTAAATATAATTTGTAATTTGGAACGTAAGTATTTATTTATTTATATTTATTTAGTAAATATTCTACAGGCTCAACGCCCAATTACAGAATACATGTAGCTAGGTAATACAAAAATTACAAATAGATATCTAATATATTTAAAATAACATTATTTCTGCCAAACAAAAATCTTTAACAGTTAAAAAAATACGTTTTAAAACATCAACTATGTATGAAAAAATATCTATATGACCTTCGATTTTATTGTAATTTGCCATAATTTGTTGAAATGGTGATTGAACCAGAGTATTTGTTTGTGGGGTTGCGATAGAAAATGTGGTATACAGGGTGTTTGTACTTAAAAGGAGAACGTAATATGGGTTGTAGATATCTTATTGAGAAATTCTCAATGAGAATTACACTTTAATAAATATTTTTTTGTTTGGTTTTGTTTTTAAATTATCCCGTCATTCTTTTGTTTTTTTATTGTAGGCTTGTCAAGTTTTAAGAATGAACTATATATAATATACAGGGCTCTCAAATGTCCTAAAATCTATGTAGGTGATGTGATAGACAGAGCTGTAACTTTTTTTAGCGCTTTTAGTTGTAGGTACTGCTGTAAAGGCACTCTGTAAGTCAAATTTAATAATTGTGTTCTTTAATGTATTAAATAGTTTTTTAATTGTTAATTTTGTTTGGATATGAGTCAATTTGATCACACAATTCGCTAATTTTGATCACACAACCATAGCGTAGGCAACCCAGATCACAAACTGATGTTTTGGTGTTTTTATCATGACGAAATCATGTGACAGGTGGTTTATAGGTAAGGTGACCAACCGTTCTGATTTAACCAGAACTATACTGTTTTTGAAAACCATGTTCTGGTTGTAAATTAAGTAAAGTAAAAGTTCTGTTTTTCAAAAGATTTTCTGTTTTTTTCTGTTTTCATACCTACATATACCTACAATACTAATTAAGCCATAAACATAAAATTATATTTTCCACTTTGCCAGATTTTTCGCCCAATCGTGCACCCTGCTCGCCCTACTCCCACACTTGGCTCTCCCCAAACGAACTAATAGTTCGGAACTATTTTAGTATTGCGCATGTCCCTGACGTCTGCGCGTTTTATTGTGGTTAAATATTGTAATATCTATTTTTTTTATATTTCAAACTCTAAATGCATCTTGCAGAAATGCAAAAGAATTACCCATATTGTTGTGTTTATCTTGAACAAATAGTCCTGTAGAGAAAGTTTTTTCCAATATGAACAACTTTTGGACAAAAGACAAATCACAATTGGATATTAAAACACTAAAATCATTATTAATTGTTAAAACTAATTTCGATCAAACATGCTTAAAAAAATGAAGTACTAATAAAACAAATTCACTCCCAAGAAAAATATAGTTTTCTTACTACCTCGACTCAAAATACGTTGTTTCGTCCCCGATTTCACGGCAGAAAGTTTACGTTTCTTGCATTGGTCAAGCTATACGCGCACACTCTAATAGCGGGAGTAAAAATTTTTTAGTCGCGTGCTTAACATTTAAATTTCGTACTGCCAACATGAGAAACACAAAAATATGACAGTTTTAAACCATAATTTTGCAATTATAACAACAAATAAACAATTTATGTTTTTACTTTTTATGTAGTTTTAAGTGTTTAATGGTACTTTTATTTGTTATAAAGTAGTAATTTGTTAATTAAAATACAACCTTTTATTTTTACTGTATTGGCACCGCTGAATTACCATGATACCAGTTTGATTGATTTTGAATGTAAACGTCAGAATTAAATTAAACGTCAGATTTTAATTTTGACACAATTTTTTTTATATACATTTAATTTTTTCCCGTATTTTCTGCAGGGTAGTAAGAAAAATAGTATACACTACACGGGCAGAAAGTGTGAGAGTCCTGAACTGCGCGCCATGATGCCCTCGGCTTCGCCTCGGGCATCATGGCGCGCAGTGCAGGAATCTCACACTTTCTGCCCTTGTAGTGTAATATACTATTTCTTACTACCTCGACTCAAAATACGTTGTTTCGTCCCCGATTTCACGGCAGAAAGTTTACGTTTCTTGCATTGGTCAAGCTATACGCGCACACTCTAATAGCGGGAGTAAAAATTTTTTAGTCGTGTGCTTAACATTCAAATTTCGTACTGCCAACATGAGAAACACAAAAATATGACAGTTTTAAACCATAATTTTGCAATTATAACAACAAATAAACAATTTATGTTTTTACTTTTTTACTTTTTATGTTGTTTTAAGTGTTTAATGGTACTTTTATTTGTTATAAAGTAGTAGGTAATTTGTTAATTAAAATACAAAGTTTTATTTTTACTGTATTGGCACCGCTGAATTCACGGCCTACTGGTATTTATTTATCAAGCTCTTCAAATGGAGATAGGTACATAAATACACATTTAATTTTTTCCCGTATTTTTGGCCGGGTTGTATTTTCGGCCGAGGTAGTAAGAAAAATAGTATACACTACACGGGCAGAAAGTGTAATATACTATTTCTTGCTACCCGGCAGAAAATACGTTGTTTCGTCCCCGATTCCACGGCAGAAAGTTTACGTTTTATGCATTAGTCAAGGCTATACGTATTTTCGGCCGAGGTAGTAAGAAAAGTTTCATTTCCTCCCGCTACCATGACAACGCTACAGTTTGATTGATTTTGAATGTAAACGTCAGAATTAAATTAAACGTCAAATTTTAATTTTGACACAAGTTTTTTATACACATTTAATTTTTTCCCGTATTTTCTGCCGGGTAGCAAGAAAAATAGTATACACTACACGGGCAGAAAGTGTGCGCGCCATGATGCCCGTGGCGAAGCAGTGCAGGAATCTCACACTTTCTGCCCTTGTAGTGTAATATACTATTTCTTAATTTGTAATAATATTATGTTAATAGAAATACATGGAAACATTTTATAAAAAATACAGATTTGGGTTCTGGTTTTTCTTTCAGGAAAGTTGGTCACCTTATTTATAGGGCAATTTTAAATATTAACAAAACAAAAAATGCCAATTTTATGACATTTCAGGACAAGCCAATTCTATAGGACATTTAGGACAGAATGCTAGCATTTAAAGTTTAAAGGCCCCCGCGTAGCAAAGGCCTACAGTTGGGCGAAGCACAAAAAATACTTCTCAGGCGAATAGCATACAATGTTTTATCTTTAAGTAACAATTTTATTTCTTAAATGAAAACATACAATTATAATAATAACACTGGTCGACAGCAACATACATGGTGCGCTGATTCCAAAAATGATAATTTTGCTCAATCAGCTCTTCTTATAAAAAGATTATAACTGTCAAATAATTTGGTTATGTTCGGAATTTTTATTTTTGCATAGGTATACTTCATTCGTAAAACTTGACACGCCTATTATACCTACCAATATACCATTTATACATATACCATTATAACATCGTGACGTCTTTTTTAGTGACATCTCTATTTAGGGACCTATACCCTTTTTCTCTGTGGCGCGAGTTCCAGGACACCCTGTATAATATATAAATATTAGGTAATACCTGTAATATAATTGCAATGTTTAAAAAATTGCTGAACATTGCTTAATATTTTTTTATTGTATTTATTTTTAAAGCCGCATTTTAAATAATATTTTTCAGATAAAACATAACAACACATAACTATAGTGTATACACAATGGGGTTGGCACATGATGTCACTAAATAGCGAGAAGTTACCAAAAACAACTAATTAACTTGGGAATTTATAAATTCGTAAATAATTTATTGGATTTTGGCATGGTTAATAACATTATAATAAATACTTTTTTCTACTCCCACCTTTAAAACGCCCTTTATCGTACATGTTTCCATGACACTAAGTGACCTTTTAAATACACATTGACAAGTTGTGGCTTTATGACGCTTTAGTCACGGGCTGAAGTTAGCAACAGGTTTTTAGTCACGGGCTGAAGTTAGTTTTAAGTTAGTTGACAGTTGTCAAATGTCGTACAATCGTTAAAATAAAGTGCCCTTCTTGTAAAATAATACTAAATGTGAAAATTATTTTATTATCTCAATACAAAAATACAAAAGTATTAAATAGTTTCTCAACACCAATATTTGAAAAGTTTATATGAACATTGTACTGACCTTTTAATTTCGCCGGCAGTAAACTATAACTTAAATTCGGGCACGTAAAGTCCTCATAAAACATTTTCTTTACTTTCACTGAAATACATTTCGATTTATAACCTTTATAATCTGTGTTTATAATATAAAAATGTGACATTTGACGGTGACTCACAGATTCCCCAGTGAACCAAACCGTGACTTATGACCTAAAATTTACGTAACACGTAGATCATATCTAGGTAATTCAATTTTTACGTCATAGTGACATAATACTGACCCAAAACGTGACTTTTATATGATGTAATTAAATGACTTACATATTACGTACATCTTATGTAATATTAAAGTCATATCGTGACGTAATATTAAAGTCACTTTTCTTACGTAAGACTGACATAAGAAATCTGTCATAATATTACATAACTTTTAGGTCACTGTCTTACGTAAGACTGACGTAATAAATCTGTCATAATATTACCTAAGTTTAAGGTCACTTTCTTACGTAAGGCTGACGTAAGAAATACGTCATACTATTACATACGTTTTAGGTCACTTTCTTACGTAAGACTGACGTAAGAAATCTGTCATACCATTACATAAGTTTAAGGTCACTTTGTAAGGTAAGACTGACATAAGAAATCTGTCATACATATTATTTAGACGAACTAGATGCAAAAGTAATTTCAAAGTATGAAATTCACTGTATTTTAATGTTTGAATTAAACTAATTTCAATGAATGGACTTTTATTTTTAATGAGTGAAATAGGCAAACATAATTTTTATTTTTTATTGATTGAAATGGTTAATTCCAATCATTGAGTAAAATAACGTAAGTAAATTCTATTAATTGAAA